CTCCTCCTCACATCACAATTCTGCACTAATAAAAATCCTTTTAATCCAGACTCAAACCGATTGCCGTAAACAGAATATGATCTTGCTGCGGGTGTAAACAAACACACGTGAGTGAAGTGACGTGACTCTGGGGGTGTGTTCAGGGACAGTACAGACACAGACACAGACAAATGACTCCGGAGATAAATACTGATGCGGAGCCACATATTAGGACATTTATCTGTCTGTAAATTGGATTAAATGAACAGAATGTAGAGAGTCTAAGCTTTATAAGGAGGTATAACATGCCCACGTGAAATATCGGCCCATATCAGCAAGCATATCGGCCAGTCGATATATCGGTCGGGCTCTACTCTGGATTATAAGGCGCACTGTCATTGAATGGTCTATTTTCAAACCTTTTGAGGCGCATTAAACGAAACACAACAGTTAGATAAGTCAGTCAAACTTTATTTAACACGTTCACAATAACTCTCAACTTTGTTCAATTGTAACGTGTAAAAAAAATACTGAGACTAAATTGTTAGCGCATTCACAATAACTCAGAATTGTTCAGTTATAACTAAAAATAACACATTACACTCACTTTTTCAGTTCATTCCTCATCCACAAATCCCTCAAATTCTTCATCTTCAGTGTCCTAATTAAACAGTTGGGCAATTACAGCGCCCAGCACGCCCGCATCCCTTTCGTAATTATCCGAGTTAGTGTGGTTACTGTTCCCTGGCAGTGCAGTGATGATTCCAGTCTTGGTGAAAGCTCGGACCACAGTTGATACTGATCCTTAGCCCAGGCGTCCACGATCCATTGGCAGATCGTGGAGTAAGTGGCTTGGCACTGTCTCTCTGTCTCCCTGTCTTGGTGAATGTGTGTTCGCCTTCTCTAATCCACTACTCTCACGCAGCTCGCACTTTCACATTATAATAACCTTGAGTTTAAAGTGGGCATTGTGAGCGTTTGGGCATGTGAGATGCATTTTGATATTGAAAGGAGTCACAGTATGTATTACTCCGCGATGCTCCTGACTACGGGAGCCGTAATGCAGCAAGTGGTGCGGCTTTGTACTTTACTAAAGTCATACTATGACACCCCAATAAATTCATATATAAGGCACTCTGGGTTATAAGGCGCGCAGTCGTTTTTTGATAAAAAGCTTTTAATTTAAAGTGCGCCCTATAGTGTGGGAAATACGGTATATGTAATGTGTAATGTAAAGGAAATGGGAGGGTGTGTGGCTATGTTGTAGTGAACTGTAGAAATACAGTCTGAAGTAACAGAAAGAGTGTGAAGCTACACTCCTCTTAGGGCGGGGCTTATCTAGCTCAGGGACTGCCTTGATAATTTATGGATTGTATAAATTCTTGCTTCTCAACCCATTGCCTTCAAAATGACTTCAATCAACCCAAAAAACATGCAACATAGGTCTCCAGGAAGATTAGCTGATAGCTGATGATGTTGTATTTAACTGACCTCCAATAAAAACATAAAAAGACTTTAGGATCGAAATGGAAAGTCTCGATTTCAAAAACATTGTCCAGATGATCTCTAAAACATTTTATATCATGGACCAGTCCTGGATGAATGAAGAATTACAATTACTGATAGATCTACTAGTATAATATCTATTATTCAATTAGCTGTTTTAGCAAATGCATTCATATTATGAGTGGGTAACCTCTCCACAGATCTGACCTTTAGCTTTGATAAGTATTTTGCATTTATGCCATAGCGTTCAATAGGGCACTGCACCTTTAAAAGGTCCCATATTGTACAAAAACAATTCTTATGAGCTTTAGGTCATGTTATAATGTCACCTCATGAAACACATCCTCTAAGTTGTGTTTTGTTTCATTCACACATGTTTGAGTTATCCTGCATTATTAATCTGTTTACATCTCCAAAGCTCAAAATGTTCTGGTCCACCTTGTGATGTCACAAAGTGATAGTTTTTACCTTTTATCTTGTGTTCGGTAGAGACCAGCAATTCCAGGGCGGAAATCGTGCAAATGATTCTAGTGAAGGTGTATGGAGTTTAAAAACACAGTGAAGCACTTGTATTAGCATATGACATCACAAGATGGAATGTTTACAGTCTGAGAAGAACCCAAACATGCAGGGATCACTTGTTAAACATGGGTGAATGAAACAACCCCATGTATGTTTTTGATGAGAAAACAACGTTATAACATACATCCAAAAAGTGTACATGATTGAGGTAAAAGGGTCTACTTGGACATAGTAGCTTGAGATAATTCACAATTAACTAACGTTACTTCTTACGATGTACTGGCGCAGCTGTGTTATGCAAATCAAGCCTACTAGTCTGAGGCCTACGACGGGCCGGACCAGAGACAGCACCTGCGCGAGCACACCGGGGTGTGATGCTCCTGGCCCGCAGACAGACAGCGGCGGAAGTCCGAGGGTCCAGTGCTCCGAGTACGCGTAAATTGGTGGTTTTCAGATTCTAAAATGGGATTTGGGAAATGGGAATGTCATACTTCTAGATGGGGGATAAGAGCCAGTTTTCTTACTGATTACATTGTACGATATTGGAAAGGTAAATTTCCAAATATAAAACCTGATCATTTCTGTTACTGACTAAACCCAAGCCCATATGCTATATTGCAACAAAAATGTGCAGTTGAGTAATAATTTTATCTTCTATAGTGATCATCTGAAACCCAACAATACATGTACCCCATAAACATGACGTTTGAACCCAGTGAGGTTAGCACATACCCACCGCAGCAGCACTCGTAAACACGGCTCTTACCAGCACGGCTCTCTCCACCTGGCTGGCGGAGGACATTTTGGGCAGCTCGGACAGAGACCTCTGAGGGTTCAACATTGTAGCCTTTGATTTTCCAAGAGAAGCACTAAGAAATAAGAGCAGAGCTGCAGAAATGATCCAGGATTATAATGGCTAGCTGGAAGAAAAAAGCGATGGTGCGTTCGGAGGCTGTTGGAAATGTAAGATACGTCAACCACACAGTCCAGTAGCACAGAGAAATAGATTATTTCTGCAATAGACAACAAGAAAAGCTCACATTTCTTGATGTACAAATAAAACACACCTTCAACAGAGTAGAACTGTTTAAATCTAACACATTTATATGCAATGCAACCATGACGTTCGAGAGAGATGTTTTTGTTTTCTTTGGTCCCAAAATGCACCATTCGCTTGGTCACACGCTTACTATTAAACCGTCCCGCCCACGGCTATATATGGAAAGTCATTTCCGTTTTGTTGAACCGTCGAAAAGCAGAAGTTAGAACGGTAATCCTGATTTAGTCTACGGCGATAAAAAACACAAAATAAATTAGATATAATAGATATATTTTCAAGAAATGAATATGACATAGATGTCCAGTTTTATGGATAATGTAGAATGTCTATAACCTGTTTGGGTTCCTGAATTTCGCCTGTTACTTGCAAAATATTGTCCCCCAGCAATAGCAAATAGCTGCAGCAATTCAGTCCACTAAAAATGCATATGCCCATCGCATTCCACACCATATTATGAAAAAAAAGTTCAAAAATGGATCATCAAAAAATTAATTATAAAACTATCACAACAGTAATTATGAGGATTTATTAAACAGCACAAATGGTTTATATTTCCACAAGTACACAAAATCATAAATAGCCCCCAAACCAAAGTTGAAACCCTCCTGTTAAAACAGTTTAGATTATCGAAAAGAATCCTGATTACAAAGCCAGTCAATTAGAAGTCTACAATATTAAGACACAATGGACTTAGGTCAAAGTAGCACGTGTATCATTGTTAATATAAAATAAATCCTACCAAGTGTGCTTATTTACAATAGGCTTAAAAACACCTCTTCACTCCTTTATGACTGGGGTTTGAAATAAGTCATCAGTTAATTTGATTCAAAGTGTGTAACGTGCTTGTAAAAAAGACAGATGTTATGAAATGTTTTTTGCAAAAGATTTTCTTTCCAAACATAGTTTAATTAATGATGGATGATAAAATGTTCTAAAAACAATGGGAAAAAATATCTTTGCATTTAAGGCCTCACAATAGTTTCTTTGTTCAACTAAATCTCCTTAATTTCAAACTTAAAAGCACATGAAGCAAACTTTGACCAAAGCTGACTAAAAGGGCAGAGGAAAAAAACAAATAAATACTTATAGAACCTTTTCATGCTGCTGCCTGGTTAGTTCTAGTTTTCTCAGAAGTGCAGATCCACTCTTCCCGCTCCATTTATTCTCCTTGCGGATTTAGCAAGCGTTGCACGAGACGTTACAGATGGATAATCACAGAATGTCAAGGCCTTTACTATGATGTACGGTAAATATATCACTCGAAGAAACTGCACTTATAGAAGTAAGCATTTGTGAAGCTAATGCTAATTGAATTAAAATTAAAGAAGATATTTTGCACCTGTGTGTGCTATATAGTTAAATTAATGCTAAATAAATGACAGCTGTGGATCATTTTGATAAAATTTTGACATTTTAAATCTCAATATTGATCTTAAATTACATTTTCCCAATACAAGTTGGAGAGTTGTAAAGGTGACTGTAAATTGGAAGGGGGAACAACTTTAACAAGGTTAAAAACACTGACAAGTTGATTTTGAATAACAGGTTTAATTATAGATGTTAAAATAGTGCTACAATTTGGATTATCCTGCATGCAAAACTAAACGACTTGTCCTTAGATCTATTTTTATAAAAAAAAAAAAAAAAGCATGTTCTAATTTGAGATTTATTAGGATTGTATTACGGTAATTTGGAGACACAAATGCCTACTTTTATGAACACAGAACTGTACTCCAGTGAAGTATTTACATCACAGTAAAGGTCTTAACATGCTTTCTTTGATTATCCATCTTTAACTAGCTGTCTGTATTTAAATAATGATTTATTTAACGCAACTGCTAAATCCTCGGAAAATGAAGCGGGAGGAGCAGATCCTCACTTTTGAGAAAAAACAGAGCAGAGAAGGAGGCAGCGTGAAAAGGGCATATTAAGGCAATGCAGTGGCATGTTCTTGGTTATTTTTCTCAACATAAAAGAACACTGTTAAATAAAGCCATTACATGAAAAATGACCAGTAAAATACCTTCCTAAATATCAGTACAGTCTGTGTATGTGGCACAAGAGCCTCATCTATCCGTCCTGAACCAACCAGCCAGTCACGGACAATCACAGTATATTAAAAAAAAAAAAAATCAAGTACAGCCAGCACAATGCTCCAGATGGCCCCTAACACAGTGAGATCTGTGCGGGCGGGGGTGCAGAGAAGAGACAATTTAAAAAGGAAGCAGTTAAGATGGAGGGAGAGTGAAGGTGAGGACATCTCCTGGCTCTTCAGTGGATGTAGGCTCTGTAGACCGCAGAGATATCGTTGTCTGATTGGTCTAGTGCCTTAGCCCTCTTGTAAACCTGTGTACACATAAAGCTGCTCTGTAAATACCCTCACAAGTATTGAGAAGACATGCTTGAATTAGAAAGGTCCAACAATTAATTCAGATTTAAAAACAAATAGAAGACAGCATAGAGCCACAGACAAAGACCATTTTAAAAGCATTTAACTTAAAGAGGGGGCATTTTCTATGGGGTATTAACTGCTAACACATAACATATTTAGATCATGTTACCTTTTATTGTTTTGGAAATGGTATATTCACCAAAAACAATGTATTAACATGTTTAATAAGTTTCCCTCTCTTTTTTATACTCTGAGTCCCCCTCCTTTTGTTCCCCACATCACTGCCCCTTCAAAGAGCTATCACAACATCCTGCAAATGAAAGTACTGCATCAAGTTGTTCTTATCATGTTATCGTATATTTATGGAGAATTGCCATGTGGGAGCATGGGTGACGTAGGTTTGGGGGCTGAGCATTGGACAGAAGCCTATAGTTAACTGTAAGTAGGGTATGAATGCGAAAGACTGCTTAATTTGTGGCCATACCGGCTTGTCAAACCTGACCTTGTCAGATCCCAGAGGCTCAGCAAGGCCAGGCATGGGTAGTTCTTGGATAGGAGACCACCAGGACTATCAGGTGCCACAGTGGGATGCCAGTGGCAACAGCCACTGTTGTGTCCTTAAGTGAGACACTTGCCTTGTATGACAGAGTGTAGAGTGAATGAATAATGCACTGTGAATCTTGAAAGGTGCTGTATACATGCAATGATTAATTAAATTACTGGAACATGCATGAATGCCATCGAAAATCTCTTCCTGCATGTTTTTGATGAGGGGACAATGTCATAACATGGTAGAAAGCTCAAAGTAATACATTTTGGATAATCCCCCCTGCTGACAAAAGAAACTGCACCCTGAAGACCAACCATAAATAACTTAATAGGCATGTAATGTGCAACAGCATACCTCATTTGCTGCTGCTGCCATCGGTGTTGGGTGGTTGGCATTGTCACCCATAGAGATGGCTAATCTCAGGTCCTTCTGAATATGCTTCAAATAGTAGTCTGGTTTAAAATTACCCTGTAAAATATCTGGAAACCAAAGATAATGATCAGTTTAAATGGAAAAACAGAAAGGCATGGGCAGGCACACTGAATGATCCATCTCACTTTGACATTTCTGGTCCACGAATGTGCTGGCCATCTGGCCTTGACAGAGTATGTCCAGGAAGGTTTGCTGGGACTGTCCTGTGGCCTGGGCCAGGGTCAGTCCTTCTGCGATGGTGGCCATAAAGCTCCCCTGCACCATGTTGAGAATGAGCATCATACGGGCAGCGTTTCCTGCTTCTCCTGAAGACAGCACGACAGAAGTTATCAGACACTATGACTATGCCAGACAGACTATGCCCTAGTGTGCATGAGTCAGCTCTCAATGTGCTCAACGCTGCTGCTTTGGCTTCATGGATGCTTGGGAAGCAAATTCACCTTCACAGTCAACTGATATTGTGGTACCAATTGGTGTAGTGCCCAAACAAAAGGATTGAGCTGGCCAGTCTAATTTGCATTCACAGACCATTTGCAAAGTCTAAACATTTTATACAAAGCTGTCAAACAACTACAGAAACTGAACAATCCCTAGCATATTCCCCATACAGAGAGCACAGATGCCACTGAATCCAGTGTTAATATCAAGACTGAAAAGGACTAATATTTTCATCTCTATTAATCACAACACAATTCTTGACAGAATCCTAACTTTATCAGTGATTTTTTTTTTTTTATGTGCTCAATAGTCGGAATTGATCAATTCAATCCTAAATGTAGAATGCACACACCCAGAAAGAAGGAGGTCTTGCCCATGGCCATAAAGCAGCTGCTGCAGTCCTCATACACTGTGCGGTCCCCTGCTGCCACAATCACCAACATGCCGTCGTTGGAGAGCTGCTGACTTCCTGCCACAGGGGCCTCTAGGAAGCGGCCTCCTCGTGACGTTATCACCTGTACACAGCCACATGTACATGTACAAACCATTGTGAAAGAGAAAGTAGGTTTTAGGACTACTAGGAATACTAACCAAATTCTAAACCCTAAAAAATATAGAAACAATATCCACTGATAATCATTTTTTGGAACAAAGGTTAAAAAGGAGAACAATGGGAACAGCTAAAGGGTCCAAATGCACCATTTCCGGATTTACATTATAATGCTGTTCCTCATCAAAAATATATTATATGTACTGTATTGTTTCATCCACACATGTTTAACATGCAAACCCTGCATATTTAGGCATATTTTGTGTTCAACATGTGTATAACATTTTATGGGCAGTTGTGTACCTGGGAGAGCTCTGTGATGGTTTCAGGGTCCACGGTGGACATCTCCACATAGCACTTCCCTGGTCTGATCCCCTGAAGCACTCCACTGGGACCCAGCACCAACTGAAAAAGAAGCACAAAACAAAAGGAACTGTCAAGAACAGCGGATTAAGATGGTTACTTTTCCCACAGCTTTGACAGAGCCACTGCACCTTGTCTTAAACCTGAGTGTGGCCTGAAGCATGTCCTTGCAATTCTGCTAGAGTATCAGGAGAAGAGATACACCACTGTAGTGTTTAAATTAAATTGTCTGAACATTAGGGATGGGACAAGATCTCATGCCACAAGATCTCATGAGATCACATTGCCACAAGACTGCACACATGAGACAATCTATTGGCAGAGATCCGTGTAGCTCACATATTCAAGACAGAACACTTAAAACTCTGTTCCAATTTTTTTTTTTTTATATAGTCATAGGACCAATATTGAGAAAAATAATCTGCTAAAGTTATAATATACATGTGTCTAATTCACCCATGGATGTTGTTTGTTGACATTGTGTGAAAAAGATATACAAAGCCTTCTTCTTCCATAACTTGGTTTAAGGTGAGAAAGAAGAGGGAGAAGCACTCCTCCTCCATCTGTCCCTCTGCACCGTGTGCATCTATGTAGAGCGGCAGCAGTAAGTGGTCATGGTCACATTTTTATATAGCGCTTTTCCACCTTCAAGGTGGTCAAAGCACTTTACAACAAGAAACCACTCACCCATTCATATACACATTCATACAGGTGAGGTAGGTTAAGTGTCTAGCTAGAATCACACTGCCAACCTGACCACTCAACCGGGATTTGAACTGCCAACCTTCGGATCATTGGACAAATGCTCTTACCAACTCAGCTACTGCCGTGGGATAAAGGGGGGAGGAGAAGATACGTTTTTTCCAATCATTCAAATGATTAAAAATTAGGCTTAACATATTGTAGGCCTATATTGAGTATATTGTAATAATCAGTAGTGATGCATGTGGGGAAGGGGTGTTTAAAGCATAAAAGGTTGTAATGCATCCAAAGCATATGATGAAAATGACTTAATTTTGTCATTCTTATAACTATGAACACATAAAACATATTCACAATACAATATATAAAGAAATTAAACCAATTAAAAATCAGGAGACAAAAATTGTAAATCGATCTGATTATTGTAAATTGGTTAAAAATTTGTCTTGTGTCTTGTCTCGTCTCATGAAAATTCTGTCTCATCCCACACCTACTGAACATTATATATATTTTAAAAAAATAATAATAATAATTGCCCTAAAATGGCATGCTACTTGTCTGATATTGCTTGTAAGGTGCACAGGGAGGAAAGAATAATTACACTACAGCATTCAGTTGCATAGCAATACTTTTCATAAAGCATATTTTACACATTGAAACAAATCACAAGCTTGCTGTATCTTTACACCCTACAGGAATTGCAATGTTTAGTAGAGTTGGATGGTAATACAATATTAAGGTATCCCGCAGTGTCAAAAAGTAACAAAGGTAGTTGGTAACAGTTTCATTAGTCATAAAAAAAAATCTGCAGCGCATAAGGACCTAATATAACTCAGCACAAATGAATGTGTGGTTGTATTTTCAATTTAATGCTATCACGATTAAAACTAATAGCAGTCTACAATGTTTCTAATTCTGTTAATTTAAGTTAGTTTTTTTTATTTTCTACGAGGACGACTCAAATACACATTGAGTAATAATGTGTTTAATGCCGCTTTGCAAACTTTTGTTTACGTTTTGCAGAAACAAAACTTAAAATCACATGGCTAATTTGCATGAACTATAAACGCTGATGAAAACAGCTCTTTCCTTGTGCACTGATGCGGTCAGCTTCTGTTGGACTAAAGGACACAACTCAGTGGAATATAGGTGTTCTTTCTGCGACAGAGGATGTGCGGCTGATGGTGAGTCTGTTCTGTGTGTATATAACGTTGAGATGGTTCATGTGAAACTTTTCAGAGATTATAAGTCTGCAGCTCATACGCATAGACTGTATAGCGGTGGATGTGATATCACCTCATACCGCGCTGTTGAGCTGCTATACCACAGGAGAAATTTCCTAACCACGACAGCCCTACATGTACCACATAAAATGCATACAAGGTCAGTAAGCACAACCAGAATACATAAGGGACACCAGATTAGTCGATTTCTGAGAAAATTAAAAGGAATATAACTGTACATTATAGTCTGAAAAATACAGTGTCAGCCTGTAAGTACTGTTGATAAGAGTATAAGATGCTCTAGGGCTAGGTTTTAATTTAGCTGGAAGTGCACTTTAGCTCGCCTCATACAATCTGAAGTTATTTCATTATGATCCGTTGACTGTTACATTTACACTTTAAAATGTTAACAGAAGTTGTTAATGGTGTACATGTTTTGTTGATATTTTTAGGCAAATATAATGCTTGCTATTCTGTTCCTGAATGGTATAGGCGTAAGATATAAAATGATTCTTAATCAGTCAAGATAATACCTTATACCCTGGTAAACTGCTAAGAAGGTTTAACGGTATCGAAATTTGGATACGACTCAACCCGAATGTTTAGTTCCTAAATCTAAAAAAAAGGACTTACATCCCGGGCTGCCTTGGGGTCTGAGACACAAGAGAAGGTGATATCACACATTGAGACCACCTCAGCAGGCGTCCGTCCTAAGCGGGCCCCCTCCTGAATGAACAGGTCACACTGGCAAAGACAAAGAGACAAAAGCAAAAGCATTCATTTAAATAACATCCAAAAAATGGTTGATACATTCATTTAGATTTTTGGCTTCAGACTGTACCTTTTCTGCTGTACGGTTCCAAACAGTGACCACATGACCCATTTTGAGAAGGTTTGAGACAATCCCACTCCCCATCAGCCCCAGACCAAGGAAGCCTATCCTGGACAATACAAAAGAACACAAGTAAAAATCTGGAATAAATCCTGGGGGTATGTGGGTGCAATCAGTACATGTGCACATGTGTATGTGTGTGTGTGTACGTGCATGTGTGTGCACGTGTGTAAGCGCACACATGAGATCAGTACCGATTCTACTTCTAAACAATTCTGTATCAATTCCAAATCCTCAAAAAAATATATATATATTATGTTCCAAATTCTCAAAAGCAATAAATTATATTAACAGCATTTCCACCCCTTTATCCCATTAATATACCCAATAATTGAAATTGTATTGAAGTGCGTGCTGTGTGTTGGGAGATATATCAATAAAAGATTCTTCAGTATCGCTACTGGATCATATCAATCCGTGATACCAATGTTTGATCTCCCGGTAAAATACATTTTGTTATTACTTTTACAAAAGTGAATTGTGCGTGAGAGAGATCAGCAATGTGTGTGTGGTACCTTTTGTCTGTGGGTGTGATGCTGCCATTGATGGCTGTGCTGTCAATGGCAGCAATGTGTGTGTGGTACCTTTTGTCTGTGGGTGTGATGCTGCCATTGATGGCTGTGCTGTCAGCGGCCTGAATGGAGGTCGATCCTGAATCCTGTGAAACACACATTAACATACAGAGTTATGTTTTGTCTTTGTGAAACCTACCAATTTCTGAATAAAATTGTATTTGCTTCAAACTTGTTTACCCAATAGCAATAGTGAAGGGATAGGGTCGTGCAATCATTTAAATTTTAGAGAATTTTATAGGAAGAGCCAGTTGATTCAGGTCATCATTGATCATTTTGGGCCTGATCTTGCCCCCAATCTTAGCAATGATGGAAGTGTGGGGCTTGGGGCTCTAAAGAAGAGGTGTGCCGCGTCTGAATATCAGGTGGAGTGAAGCAGACTGAGGACGTGGTGTGGCACGTTCAATTAATTGCCAGAATCGTAAAAATAAATATCAAACTAGAACACTGAAAAACAATATGTAACATGCTAAAAGCTTGTTTTATTTGTAAATATATTAGGATGATAAATGCTTAACATTCTTAACATGTTCATGCGACGTGCGGGATGTTCCTGCACCATCCCAATGACCCCCTGCAGCAGAGCACATCCCTTCGCCTGCTTCCTATATCGGCTCAGCATTGCTCTATAATTTGGTTTGATCTATATCTGTACAAAAGCTGCTCATTCACATAAGCCTGTTTACAGTGATTTCCTAAAGTGTGTTTCTGGCATCAGCTCCATTTAATTTTGTGACGAAATTATTCTCATAGTGCCGCTTTAGTTAGTTTATAAAGTTAGTCATAGGTAGACTACCATCAGAATCGTACATAGCTGCATGGAGCAGACACCGGACTGACAGATCAGCACGCGCACACAGCTCTGGGCTGTGACAGCGGAACAGATGCACATCTCATATGTGCTGCTCTCTTGGCAGCAGCGGTCAGAAGGGATTTGTACAGCAGCTCGAGAGATATATAATGCATGAGCAATGCAATGTACAGACACCTACGCATCCTGTTCATTAGTCACTTGTGCGGGGCAAATGCAGGTCGTGCAGTTACCCTCTCCGTGTGTTAATGATTTAATCCAGGTCTGTGTGCAAAGCGGTCAAATCAGAAACATTTAAATGACAATAAACGTATTCCATAATCCGCGAGACAACCAGAGACAACCACCTGTGTGGGCGACCCAATGTTGTGGACACCCGTGAGATGAGAATCTGAGCCGTCAGCTGTAGCAGAGGTGAAAACTCATACCTCAGGTGAGACGCGGGAGTGGACTGCCAGGACAGGCGGGAGCGGGTGCGACCAGGGAGGGAACAACAGTCAGCTGTGGGATGGGGAGTGCATGAGATAGGCACTGGCCTGCTGCGTAATGGGAGGCAAATGAAATGAGGAACACAGAGGAAACTAAAAAGGTTGACGTGTGCACGCACAGGCTTACAGGGGCGCGCATGTGAGCCCAGAGTGTTGGTAACACAAACTCAGTCATGTCACGGCCCATCCAAAATTCTATATTCCTGGAGCCTCTACTGGTGTGTAATTGCATCATGGGGCTCTGGAGCGGTTTTATTGTACCCATATATAACTTTTCCTCACACTCCTTCTTTGTTCCCTGGTAATGAAGCAAAGATTGCAGACATCAACCACACTGGCAGTGCTTTTAAATGCTAGAGCGGTCACAGATTGGTTCAGATGCCATCACCATATATGCAAGTCCACTCCATCCTCCAAAAGCAAAGTGCAGCCCGACCTGGACACGCCCCCTCCTTAATGCTAGCGCTAGTGCCAAGACTGGGGGCAAGATCAGGCCCCTAGTGTAATTTTAAATCATGAGGTTTACAGTCATTCCTCTGCCAGTATAAGCCTGTTCTGAGCATAATTGGAATAAATTAAGACTATTCTTGTTTTAGATGGAACTGATTAAAAGACTGTCTTGATTATGTTCATGAATTTAAATTGAAAACCATAATTACTAGTTCTGTTTTTTTCCATTTAATTTATTTTTTAAAGAAAATTAGATTGAAGTAAAGCTTCAGAGTTTGTATCTTTCAGATGTCTACGGCTGTGGAGATCAAGATCAGACACACTCACCTCTTCTACAATTTTCAGTCTCTTACTGATAGGTTCCATTGATGATGCAGGCTGAGTACACAAAAATACATTACATTAGGGTCAAAAACTATTTAACTGTCATGTTGAGGTTTGGAAAAAGGAGCAGTGCACCTTGTCAGACTGGCTGAGGAGGAAGTGATGGAAATGTGGATCATCTTTCACTGGCTGCAACACAATCCAGAGTGAGACACAAAGGACAAAATCACAAATTTAAACAAAGTGGGCAAGAAAAAGGCGAGACTTGTGTGCACACTTCCACTGAGCCATATGATCGGCCATCCAATTTGTGCAGCAGGAGTATGCACCGCACAGGTGTGAGTTCGATCTAACTTACCTAAATACCTTTTCCTCATACTTTAGTTACTGTATTGTACACATTTTTGATTTGAATAAATTCACATTTACTGAGCTTTTAAAGTCTACATTTTAGAATATACATTTGTGCTGCACCATGATCATATTTCGTTGTGGTACCCATTTCAAACACAGTGGAAACAAGAACGCCTGAGCGAAATCCCACCATATGGCTCAATGAAAACCAAGCTTGGGAGGATCTACAGTTGCCTTGAAGACAAAGTAGTCTTAGTTTTAGTGAGAAAGGTCCCCATTCCCCAGGCTGCTATATCCCAGAGGAGCTGTGAGAACAAAAGCATAGAGTCTCTGAGCACAGGAGCACACACACATGTAAGAGGGGGAGCGCTGCAGAGTGGACACCAGCCACAGGGTTAAGTGCAGTAGGAAGAGAGCAAAGGCAGGCTGGGACTAGGTCACCTACACTGCTGTCCCACTTGAATGCCGAGTCCGACGCACTGCCCAGCCTCTCTAGAGCGGACGGCTCGGGGTCAGAGTCTGTTAAGTCCTTAGGGGAAGACAGAAAAATTTTCACCTCTATGACAGGCCAAGCCCTTGCCGGAGCCAGCCAACCACTGATAACTTAGGAACATAATAATACATTCCAAAACATTCATACATTTGTCTCTTCTCCAGGGCATAATTACCATATTTATTTATTTGAATCTTGTGAACTTTACTACCAGTGAATGGGCCTTGCCTTAAAATGTATGATATTAATATAAACTTGGAATGCACCAATGAAACTTTCAGCTCTGATACCGATATCAGTACTTTGGCCTTCTGCAGATACCCGTTACTACCCAATACCACTGAAGGGATGGAAAATTACTTATTTCCTCAAAACACAGCTAACTTCTTACACTAGACAATTGTGTTATGCAACTGTAATTTCTCTGTCAAATGACCACTGAAGAACTTCATATGACTACAAATTCAAACATTATGAGACAGTTTAGGCCAATATCAGCCTATAGTCTTAATACATCCAATTAAAGGCCCAACCAAGTAACCGTTATTATAGAACTGAATCCCAATCCAGCAAAATATACAATACCTGCACTGATATTCAATACCAGTATCGGTATTGGTGCAACCATAATGTAAACCAATGGCAAATCTGTTAAACTAATCAGGACAGTGGCTGAAAAAAACATATATTATTAGTTATTAAATATAATTTGGAGCATCCCCAGTTGAGGACAATTAATCAGCTTGTAATTGGGTTAAAAAAAAATGCATAAAAGAACATGGATCAGAGATTCAACTGACACCTAACACAGGTTATGTCATGACATAGTCCTGCACAACGAGCCGTTGAACACTGACTATTTATTATTTTATTTATTCATGAGAGAGGGACAGTGCACAATATACATTAACCTTAACACTTGGAGACATATCAGCTATCCTAAAGCCTAAATCTTATCTATCCTAATCTATCCTGAAGCCAAAATAACAGTAAATGTAGCCTAAACAAATTTTATAATCAGTTGAAGATTCACAGTGAATTTTAAAGTCACTAAATATTTCGGCTGTTAAAATGTAAACATCAAAAACATCAATATCGGTCGAGCCCTAGTATATATAATGGACATAGCTAACGCCCTAGCCGCGGCATTCCAAATGGGAAGTTCTCATGTGGGCTCTGGTGTTTTTTTTCCTCTATTCATAATATAGAGCCTGGCTCCAAATTCGCTCCTATAACTGTTAGCATCACAAGCTTCATTTGAGTGAAGACTACGGGTGATCCAATGACTTTGCGGGGGCATGATTAGCACCACCCCTTGCGAGCCGGTTCCAGGTGCCAACGTTATTTTAATAGATCCATAACGTTCCAGACTTCTTTGGAAGGTAATACCTCCCACAGTCCGCTTTGGACCCCTAAAAGGAGGCGGTACAGATCGCTCTATGTAGTGGGAACACTCAGGTTCCGTGCTGTTCTGTCCCGTACCAGTCCAATGGCATGATTCGCTTGGGGCTGCCTTGGCGTGGAAGAGTTAGGAGGGTCCACCCTACATCCGAAGAGCACATGCTCTTGTTCTGAAAATCAACTACTCTTTTACTACGCAGTTACCTGGACGGAGATGGAGGATTATGGTGAACTTTATGCGGTCATTTGGTTGCATCTTTACACACATGCACTAAATATTGGATGTATGCACCATATTTGGGAATGACACTTTTACCACACACATAACACTTTAGCTTTGACACACTGGCCCGGACTGGAGACTCTTCAGCTTATCGCTTTTATCGGGTAAGTGAGCATCCACGCAGTGGTTAGGATAGCAGCCTCGGTACCCTAAAAGGGGTTGGTACAGATCACTTTGTGCAGTGGAAACAGTGCTTTCTCAACTCGTTCACCTATATTCAGCCTCACATTTTACTAGGTGTAGTTTTATCTATTTTAGCATATTGGTATGTGTGCGTCTGTGCATGAGTGTGTCTGTTTGGGTTGTTTGGTTGTGTGGGGGCTGGGTGGGTGGGTGAATGGAATTGCGGCATTGTTTTAATTTCTTTAAAGCACTTTGTGTTACATTTTTGTCTAAAAAGCACTTTATAGATAAAGTTTGACTGATTGAACAATAGAATAGGGAACAACAAGCTGTTAACATAAAATATGAACAGTTCTTCAGATAACTATAGCATAAACAACAGAACAGAACAAGTTTACCAAACTCTCCATCTCACTCCAAATCACTAAATCCATTAAATTCTTCATCCTCTGTGTCTGAGCAACTCTGCGACCTAAACTGAGTAAACTGCATAAACTGAGTGCCGCTTCCTCTTCTGCATAGCTATCATCCAACTCGGCATCAGTTCCAGTTAGAATTATTCCAGCCTTTCTGAATTTCGACAGGATGGTTTCAGTTGTCAGTGAAGTCCAGGCTTTGTTGATCCATCCAGTGACTTCGAGGAAAGTTGCATGGCGCACACTCCCAGTTGTCACAAGTTTCTCGCTCACTCCAAATTTTCTTTCTTCTGGTCAATTGGATTTTGGCTGCATATTTTGCTACTTGCAGCTTGTAATCTGGAAAATATGATTTTCTTTTGGGGGGCATTTGTGTTCTGTCTTCTTGGTTGCCTTTATAAGTTTGTTTAAATTTTCAGTGGTACAGAAGTAATGCTGTGATCGACTGATATGATACAGACCGGACAGATGCTCTTTCTGCAGGAGACATGCACATGGTACAGGAGTAATAGGAGGAGCAAAAACTGACACACAAGCCTAGAGCACCCTCTGGCGGCTGGTAGTGTGAAAATTTTAATATACAAGTCGTACCAGAGTATAAGTCACAGGACCATCCAAACCATGAAAAAAGTGCAACTTATAGTCCAAAAAATATGGTATAATCCACTGAGTACTGTCCTTTAGTCTGACAGCAGCTGACTGTATCAGCATCACAAGGAGCCAGCTCTTTTTCAGCACTAATAGTTTATGCAGATTAGCCATGTTGTTTTAAGTTTGTTTCTGTAAAACTTAAACAGATTTGTGCAGAGCTTCATTAAACACATTATAATCAATCTTTATGTGTGCGCAGTAGATTTTAATAATTGTAACTTGAACCAATAAGCTTTATATCAAACCCCGGCTTGGGGGTTCAGGCATGAAAATGGGTCAGGTGTGAAAAAGTAGAGAAGGTACACGATGAGTGTTGTTTTTTTTTTTTTGCAAACTTGGTGCACTGGGGCATCTATTTCAGGTTAATAAGACCAGGCTCTATCTAAAATAATGGCAATTCACCAGTATATGCACTACAGTTGTAGTCAAGACTGCACAGATCGAGATCAAGATCTGTTCGAGACCACAAGGTCCCGTGACGGAGACAAGACCAAGACCACGACCCATCGAGAGCATCTTTGTCATTTTTGACATTTATTTGAATTTTACTGTTATTTTGGCACATATATATCAATATTTTATAAATCTAGCTCCATTCTATCTGATTAATGTTAATTTACACCTAAACTCTAGTGCCCTTAAACATATCTCTTTTGTGGACCCTCACCCCCAGTTTCAGAACCCTTTCTTTAAGCCAACTTCCACTGGCACTTTACAGAAAATCGCTTCAAAGCGAAGAAAGGATAGGATATTTAAACCTGTTTTCTCACTGGTTTTGCGCTGGTATTTGGCAGCCTCTGCACATTTACTAGACCAAATGCACATCGTGACAAACTAATTTATTTGGCATTTCATTAGGCAAACTTGAGCCCACCTCACAGTAGGCCTGCTGTGTGCTATAGGCATCCTCTGTGTGGACACTGCAGCATAAATTTAGATTAGTTTTGGATTAGAAATATTAAATATTAGAAATATGGTCGCACTCGACAAGTGTCAGACCTCGAGTCAGTGACAAGACCGAGACAAGATCAAGCCCAAATGCACTTGAGTGCTAGCCATTACAAAAGCCATTATAAAAGCCATTACTTTGGCACTCTCCTCTTAGGCATTACTGCAGAGTTGTATGTGAATGTGTGATGTACTCAAACCCAAAAAGAAAAGTCATTCCTTGGCAGACTTGTGTTCGATACCTTTTCTGAGGGGTCCTTCAGTGCACTAAGATCTTCATCATCCTCATCCAGGATTTTCAGAGGTTTCTTTTTTCCTTTGGACTCTGCTTTTCCTTCGGAGTTCTGTTCAAAAACAATTTTCCTTAAATGGGAGTTCTATATTAAAACATATTTATGAACCATGTAATCCCTGCAGCTACACTTTAAATGTTTTAAAAAGACAAAGGTTACAGATTAAAGTAGGAAAGGGCAACCTGTCAAGTGTTACAGAATGACCTACAACAAGCAACATTTGAGTTTTTAGTGGTCCTTTTGCTGCAACGCCTCTGCGGATCTTCACCTTAAAATGGGGACACACTTTTCCCAGTTGTGAGATTTAGAATTGTGTACTGTAACAACACAACACTGACAAGAGACTGAGGACTCACACTTAAGAAATTACAATACACAACTCTATAGCCTAAACAATTTAGTGACTGAAGTCTACGTGGGTCTTTTGTCAATGCACACTTATTACAAACTACAGACCCAAATCAGCTGTGACGGCCTGCAACTAAATAAGTAAAATCTGGCTAAAACGGTGTATGATGTGTTGCCAACTCTAGGTAAAAACTAGAGTCCTAAAGTCCTCCTTCATAAAGAACTTAGTTTGTGATTGTGATGTGCAATATTTATTTTTAGCTGTCTAATGAATACTACACACACTGTTCGCCTAGCATTAATCAGTTCAGGTGTCGAGTAGGGATGCAATGATATTCGATATAATATTGAATTGTTCAATACTGTTCCTTTGATACACGTCTCGATATGCACGTGCCCCTCCATGTGCACTGTGTTGTCATTTATTTTGGTCTGGAAGGGAAACTGTTATCACAGCGTCCTCCTCAGATGCAGCAAGAAAATAGCTCCATAGGGATTTACCAGTGGCGGGCGTCAGGGCCTGCAAGGCCTTCTCTGCTGGCTTAAAAAAATATCTGAATCGCACACTGATGTTAGTTATATTATTATTATTATTAAATAATTCCAAATGGTCTGTCCGCTTCCTTTCAGAGCTTTTCCGATGCTTGTGCTGCTTCCACACATGTATTTTCATATTAAAGCATTTGACCGATCACATTTCAGCCATCACTTGTTGCTAGGCAGAGTCAAAGTCAAAGACGTGTGCCTGAGGCCTTCACAATCCGTTCTGCAGGCCCTCCAACACAAAATGTCCATGAAACTGTTGCTTCAACCAATCAGATTTTGAGTTGGTGTCGCCAAAAATATAAAATGGGCTGAGAAAGCACTGTTCTTATTTTCATTAAATAAAAACTGAGCTGTAATTCATTTAACCAAATGAACTAGCACACTTCACATATGAACTACAACTTCACAGTAGTCTACTATAATGTATTGTATGTAATGTTTGTATTGTTTCATTAACATCAGTGTTATTATAGTATACTCATTAGCAGAAATAATTACATGAAATTTGGTTTAAAATATATCAAAATTGGATCGATATAGTGACTCGTGTATCGAGATACGCATCGAATCGTGGGAAAACCATATCGTTGCATCCCTAGTGCTCCCAAGCATTCTAAAACCCCGTCACTATCCAAGAATCAAACTGAAAGTAATTCAATATTCCTTTACCAATTTGATATTGTAGATTTAAATACATCTTTGTATAATGTCTCAACCACTAGTCACCCAGGCCTTTATAAAAATCATATAAAGCCAAAAAAGGTTGCCTACCATGGGATTGAAGGAGGAAAAACACCTAGCTGTTCAAAAGCTGACCTAGTGCTTCACAATTTTAAAAAAACAAGTGCAAAATTACAAAAGCCTGTAATGCACAAAGGAAGCAAAAGGAGACCTGGTCCTTGCTTTTGGCCTTCTTTAAGTAGTCTTCCACAGCATCCACCGCCTGCTGAAACCTCTTCCCTTTATTGATCTTGATCATCTCGTCTTTGTGAGGATGGTAAGGCTTGAGCTGCTCCACTTTTATCCATGCACTAGGCAGAAAAAGGGGCACACACAAGACAATAGTTTTGTACATTCAGCAAAATGGAGCACATTTAAAATTGTAACGAGATTAAAAAGCCTGGTTAGAATGGTGACAAATTATTGTGTGATAAAAATGATGCACACTTGTGTAAAAAATAATTCTCAATAAACTGGTAATAGGCAAATTATATTGTATCAAATAAATTACTCATATTAGGCTATTTTCGGATCTCTGTAATAATGTTGCTTCCTCATCAAAAACATACCCAAAGTCATTCACACGTTTAACATACAAACTCTGCATATTCAGATTAGTACTTCTCTCAAACAGAAAACATTCCACCTTGTGATGTCATCAAGTGGTAATACAGGAAGTGCTCCACTGTGTTTTAAGATCTATACACCTTCACAAGCATCATTTGGGTAATGTCAGCCCTGGAACTGCCAATCTTCACTGAATAAGAGGTTAAAGGCATCTCCTAACAATAGAGCATTTTGACTTTTGGAGCTGTAGACTCAAACGTGTGAATGATGTCTGTGTAATCTCTCAATTGTCAAGGGAGGATCCATAACAAAAAAAGTTTAAATTCTGAATACTGAAGAAGCTGCTTAGATGAGCTGCAAAACATCTTCACTCAAAAAACTGTTCAGTTGACAGACATAAATCTTTATTTTGGTATGTGTAACTGAAAAAATACACAACTCCAGGCATGTTTTTGATGAAATAACAAAATTATAACATGGTGTAAAATTCACAAGGATCAATTACATGTAATATTAGGACCGTTAACTTCACAATTGTATTTTTTATTATTATTGTGTCATTGGGACAGACATTTATCCAGTCTTAACCAGTCTGTAAGTATATGAGGTGGGTCCTGGTTCCCTGATAGTGACTGAGCATGAGCGTCCAAAGGTAAAAAACTAAAAAACTAAAAAATGCAGTAGGCATTCTAGAAATAAATATCGAAACAATATTTTACACTTTTTATTGGCCTTAAATCTCAAGCAGAGGCAGATAATTTGTTTTGGCTGACCTGCTGCCTAAAATTTACACACTTTATTTTAACACTTAAGTGTGAAGCTCTAGCTGCACAAAGCTTGTCTCTACAACTCTCTTATAAGTTTGTGCAAAAAAAAAAAAAAAAAAAGAAAGAAAAGCTGTGGGTGAATTTGTTGTAAATAAATAACAGTACTTGGGGAAAATAATCAAAATCAGCCATACATATTGACCCAAAAATATTGGCAACGCTTATCACGATAAGTGGCTCTGGGTTCTAAATAATCTCTATCAGACATGGAAAAGCCCTCAATCTCTAGCCTCTTCTACAGCTTGGTTTACTGTACTTACTGGTCTTCAGTTCCAAAGAACTTGACAAAGTGACATTTCTTTCCCCGGGGTTTTTTCAAATCCTTTGGAGGACTTACGATCTGATATTTAAAGCAAAAATGAAAAGAAAGTTAAGAGTTTGAAAAATTTGCTCCATCCCAGTGCAAAAAGTATGATTGCAAGTAGCTGTACCTTTCCGGGCCATGGCGGATATCGACCAAGCTTTCCCCTAAAAACACAAGTTAAAACAATAGTATAAAAACAAGTTAAAACCATTTTTTACCATAATTCGCTGTTTGATGGGTGCAATATCTGAAAATTATAGAGCAATTTAAAATTTCAACTTTACAAAACAGGAAGTGGCCTGCTAGCAGAGCTCTGAACGCTTGGTTACCCTCATCATTTTCAACATTTAGGGAAATGTAGAACTCGCACACTACTGGATGCATTTTTTTTTCTTTGACAGACATTTAATATTTACACAAGAGCACAAAGGTGCAGCTGCTAAAACATGACGATTTAAGGTTAACACTTTTATTTGAGGGTCAGGGTAGCCATTTCAGATAAAGCGCTAACTAACACGGACAGAAAAGCTACACGCGGATGTTCAAATGTTGTGTTAATAAAGATGGGTTTATAAATTTACTATTAATAAACTAAAACGAAATTGCCTGCCCAAAGTGATGAAGTAGAAAAAGTCATGCTGTTCTGCTGCCGATCATTTAGCCAAGAAGCTGCTAACTCCACCTCTGTCAGCTCCGTTGACGATTTGTTTGGGTTTACCGTCAGCGGAGACATCACCAACGCTACAGCGGACAGCCCCGGCCCAAACTCGCCATCACATGGCCCAGAGCAGCGCAAACTCGCCCCAGTTTCTATAGACGTGTTGGAGCGCATTCATGGATTATCTTACCAGACCAGATCTCCAATCCGCAGATGCACCGTCGCCATTTTACAACTTTAAATAAAACGTCGCAGTGAATGAACAACACACACCCACCGCCCCACGTGAGCGCTGCTTTTCCGCCCGCTACGTCACATCCGTTTTGGTTCAGTTTTTTTTCTTTCTTTCTTTCTTTCTTTCTTTTAATTATTTTTGTTATATATTTAAATTCTGTCCCGTGGTTCTTCTTGCCTTTGGGGTTATAATTCATAATTAATTGAATTAATTAATTTACTAGACAATCACTAATACAGTAAGGAAAATGACATAGATAGGGATTGTGATTGAAATCAAGATTAAATATGGCACAGTAAAATAGATAACATAGCATAATAATTTGTGTGTTTGAAGGAAACAGATTGATCTGTAGTGTAGCATCATTTTCACTTAGCCTAACAGACATTCTATTATTTATGTATGCCTGTTATTTTTGCTATTATTTGCATATTTGTTCACTTTGTAGGTCTTTCACATGCACTTGTTTTTATCAGGTAATATGAGTGAATCAGTGAGAATATTCTAACATTGATGTATTGTTCTTCATGCAGTCTGGACAAAGTAACATTTCAGGATTAGTAACACACTGTATATGACTGATAGAAAATTGTAAATAATTATTTCATCATATAATAACACAAATCCACTTCAGCTCAAACTTTTTACATATGGTTTGAGTTTACTGTATGTTTTTGATCATTAATCATTAATGGCGTTAAACTTTTCTGGTGGTATGTTTTTCGGTGTATTTTTCAGCAATAAAAATACCCATGATAAAATGAATGCTAGAAATAAGTTGAGATTGCACTGAGAAACACATCAGGCAAAGCAAAATAATTTATCTGCTTGCAGACACTATACTGATTATCCATCAATCTGTGAAATTATCTCAGATATTTACAGCTCAATATAGCTTCATCTGTTCACTCGATACATTCAAATCAACTTCATTTATCCCCTAGGGGAAATCTATAATATTTGTTGCCACATGCCTATTATTAAATTCTAAATGTTGAATGCATTTATCATAACAGCGTAAACACAGTTTTAGAAGGCTAAAATTGCCATTGTGCTAAATCTATTGTAGAATTACAGTGTTGGCTACTGTTATAAATTCTTTTAATATACTTGGTAAGAGTGCAAGAAAACAAAAAAGTCAGCATCTGAATGGACTTTATTGAAGCTTATTAGGAATATCATAACAACATGGAATAACCCACATAAAGCTGCTTTTGATTTCCAAGTACAGTATAATCTTGGACACACCCCCCAGCAATCTCCACACAACAGCCACATTATAACAATATTGCATTGTTTCTTAAAAGTATTGATAAATCAGCATAATTACCATCATGATCAAAGCACATCACAGGCATAAATAAATATAGAGAGTATTTTAAAATGGCACAAAATTGTATTATTCCACCATACAAAGTACAGGAATAGAAAGCAAATTTTAAAAGATCACTTTTCATTTTTTCCCTGACACCAACGCACCAAATTCCTGGATTGAGATTTCTTTCTTTAAATATTGCTGGTACTGATAATTAGTGATATGGCCGTATCTCAGAGCATCTTCAATGGAGAACTTTTTACCCGACTTGCGGTCGTGTAGAACACAGGACTCTCCAGAAGGGCCCTTAACGGTAATCTCCTCCCAGTCGCACTCCTGGCTCTGCAGGTTCACAAACATCTTCCAGTCGATGAGGCCCAGCTTGTAGGCCTCCTCTGGCCTCATCTCTTTGCCTGTGTCGGGGTCAATAACCACAATGGACCTGCGCAGGTGGCTTTCCCGCTGCTCCCTCTTAATTCGCACTGCAGCCAGGTTCTTCTGAAGTCTCTCAATCTCCTCGTCTTTCACCAGGGTGATGCGACGCAGCTCAGACAGCTCCTTCTGCAGAGAGTCCAGGCGCATCTCAAGGCTCCGGCCATCCTCCCTTGGGGCCGACTCTGTGATCAGACGTGTCTCCTTGCTGGTGATCTCTATCTCAGACTTTAGTTTGCGAATCTCGTTCTGCAGCCTCTGGTTCTCCTGCTGCAGCCGGCTGCTTTCATCACGTATGTAATCCAGCTCTTTGGTGGACTTGGTGTTAGTGAATTCCATTTCAGAATATTTGGAAGTGAGGCTTGCCAGCTCCACATCTAGCTCACGCTTTCTTCTTTTCTCTTCTTCGAGGGCTCTCTTCAGAGTATCAATTTCATGCTGAGCCTCTGGATCTGATTCCACTTGGACTTTCTCTGTACGGACCACTCTCTCCTTTACATCCATCTTCTCTAGGGTCATCTGCTGCTGGATCAGAGCATTGAGCTCTTTCTCCAGCAGTGTACGTTTGTGCCTCTCTTCATCGAGTTGGAGTTTCAAAATGGAGTGCTCCTTCTCTTGCTGAGGGTCCTGCTGCAGCACCACCTTCTGTTTGACTGTTACTTTCTCACGGTTCTCTTTGTCACGGATCTCCAGCTCGCTCAGCCTGATCCGGAGCCGCTGAATCTCCAGCTCAGCGTCACGTCTGGCTTTGCGCTCTCGCTCCAATTCCTCCAGTTGCATATCTAAGTCAGATATCTTCCTCTGCAGTTGGTAGAGCTCGGTTTTCAGACTTTCTTTCTGCTTCTGCTCATTGTTGATGTTGTGTAGGAATGTGTCACACTCAGATCGGAGAACTGGATCCTCCTCCATCTTGACCACTTCTTGTTGAACAATCTTTCCCGAACTTGGGACAGATCCAGCTTCTTTAGCCTGATCCTCTCCTCTTGTTCAGCTCGTTCTCTCTCCAGGTCAAGGCGTTTCCTCTGCTCATCTGATAGCTTTCGTTTGAGAGTCTCGATTTCTTCTTTTGTTTTGGGGTCTTCTCTAAACTGCACTACTTCATTGACCACCTCCTTGGTTTGCACTTGGGGCTTGGTATCCCTCCATCTTTGAATGTCATCTCGAAGCTGCCGTATTTCCATCTCAGACTTCTCGGTCTGGTGTGTTTTGTCCACTATCTCATTACGGAGCCTCTCCAGCTCGCGTTCGGTTTCAGGATCAGTCTTGTACTTGATGACTTCTTTGATGATTTCTCTTACTTCCACTTGAGGACCCCGGTTCCTCAGCATGGTCAGCTCATCTTGCAAGGATCGAAGCTGAAGCTCTGAGTCTTTAAAGCGTCTTTGGTGCTCCACAAGTTCTAGTCGGAGATTGGCCACTTCATTCTCGGCTTTTGGATCTGGACGGACAATTTCACGCACCTTCTCTTGAACAATAACTTTGGACTTCTCCTCTTCCAGGCTGGCGATCTTTCTTTGGAGATCAGTCTTCTCTCTCATTGATGCTCTTCGTTTGGCCTGCTCATCCGCATACTGTCTACGGAGGTTCTCTACTTCCCGTTCCAGAGCTACATCCTTCTCCACTTTAAGGACCTCTTTAATGGAAATGGTCTCTTCTGCAATGGCTTTCTCTTTCTCCAGCCTCTTGAGTTTGTCCTGGAGGAAGGTCAGCTCATCCTCCAGCTGCTTTCTATTGTCCATCTCCTTCTGCCTTCTGTCGAGAAGGATACGATACTCACTCTCCAGCTGTGGATCATTTTGGACTTTTATAACCTCCTCTTCAGTGATGATCTCCTGTTCTTTATTCTTCTCCTCAGCCAAGAGCACCACTTGCTTCTGAATTTGGACCAGCTCAGTCTCTTTAAGCATCTTCTGTCTCCTGAGCTCATCCAATTCTTCACGGAGCTTACGGATCTCCTCCTCCTGGGCGCGGTCTCGCTCTATACGCAGCACCTCTTTCACTGTGTACTGCTGAGCCCCTTCTTTCAGCTCAGTCTCTAGACCACGTAGTTTAAGCTTGAGCACCTCCAGGTCATTCTCCAGAACGTGTGTGGTGCGACGTTCTTCTGAGAGTTTCTGTTGGACTTTATGGACTTCCTCATCTGTGGGTCAGGAACTTTCTTGATCAGCTCCTTCTTGACTATGGTATCCTGGGGTTTTTGACCCTCAAGCCTGTAGATCTCAGCTTGGATGGTTTGCACCTCTTTCTCCATCTGCTCCCTTCTTTGAATCTCATCCTCTAGCTGCTTCCTGATTCTCCAGGGTTCCTCTCCAGGGACTGTGGCTTGCACTGATTGGACATTGGTGCTCTTTATTGTGACCTCTGGTTGCTGTAAGGAAGAATGTGTTATTATACTCTGTGTTATTAATACTGTCAGCATTTTAGATATCTAGGGACTTTTTTTGCTATGTTACCTGCTTGAGAAGACTGTTTGTGAACTCCAGATTCTGTAGCTTTTGCTTGTTGATAGCATTCACTTCAGTAAACTTTGCTTCAATAGCAGCTTCCTGTTTTAACATAGCAAATAATCACAAGAAGTAGATTGCAAATATGTCATATTTATTTCACTGTAACATTGAAAAAGAAATAAATTACTGTCTTTGTATAATTCAAAGACAAATTAAAACCAGTACCTCTGCTTTGACAGCGAGTGCAGGGGACTCCAGTCTGCTCCTCTTATATGTTTGTGGCACAAGCCCATCTTCAATGTCAAGAAAAGCCCGAAACTTCTCGGTTTCATTCTCATAGTCCTAAAGATATGCAAAGCACTTAACATGGTATAAAGACTCCTTTTAAATAAATGAAATAAATTCATTCAAGTTCTTACTTTGACAGCTTGTTGGTAAAGCTGGGCATTTTTGGAAACATTGTTTAGATCAGATTCTTTTCTAGCTATATCCGAAAGCAGGTTCTAAGGAAAAGGAAACAAGTCTTAATTAAGAAAATAATATGTAGCAATACTAATTTATTAACTGTGTTGTGTTGCTACCTTCTGGTTTTTCAGCTTGGTCTCCACCTCAACGGCAGTGTCTGTTTCACGTGGCTCGTAGTTTGGAATGCGAGACAGCCAATTGTTCAAGTTGTCATAATCATTGTGGTAATTCTTATATGCCATCTTAGCTCTTTGCAAACACTGGGACCTGCAAAGACATTTGGGTTAAAGTGGGTAGTACTCAGTTACATTTACTCATATATATATATATATATATATATATATATATATATATATATATATATATATATATATATATATATATATATATATATATATATATATATATATGCATTAAATT